GTACATGCTTGTGTCCTGCTTGTGGACATTCTCTGTGGCCACGTCCAACGTTAGGTGCGCCGCTCTCAGAATGAGCAGCTTTATGGGCTATTACAGCAAATGTGGTGCGTGGGCATATCTGTCACATTGTCATCGACAGGGTTACTTTTCACTCTTTAGCAAAGCCACAGACTTGTAAAACAACCCCCCATCCCCCCACTTTCAAAAGACATGGCATCCTGGTCAAAACGTTGATCAACAGCGTCATCTAGTGTTGGGAACCTTCCCCTAAGCTAACCGTTTCGACCAATCAGAAACATCTGCGATGCGGATGTGAATGATGTTCCCATATGTCCCCCAAAATTGGAAAATATCTGGCCTTTTACTTCAATAAATTAGTTGACCAAATCCCTGCGCCAACAAAGAGAAATCTTTTTTTTTCTTTTTTTATGGCACTTTAAACCGGTGCTGCGCTGTTTTCTGTTATGCTGACTAACTACAAAACTGCCAAGAGATATCTGCAGTGCAGCTCTCATATTTGTGCATAATAATTATTGACTTCTCTCCATCCAATTGTAGACTAATCGACCACTCCTGTGACGGCTAGCCTATCAGTGGAAAGGGGGGGAAAAAAGTCCCCCCACCAACAGTGCTTTGAACGAGTTCAGCAGCAGCACCGTCCATTAAAACCATAAAGTAATTTAGCCCAGACGTCTAGCCAGCGAGTCGAGTTTGCTTTGTTCGTCTGCATTTGAGACAAACAGAACGAGCTCCAACAGGGGCTGTAAAACTGGCATCTTTGTCCGGACTGAGCTGAGCTGAGCAGAGCTGAGCGGAAATGCGCTGGGATCGGGCTTTGAAATTACAGCATCCTGTCTGCATTGTTTGCCACCACAAAAAGGCAATTTAGGCCTATCCCAGGAAACAAATGTGAGACAAGGGAAATTGTCTCTCACTTAAAAGTTTAGCCGTTCAAATTCTGTCAGCATATTTTCCCCCCCTTCTCTCTGCGATATTTGAAGCTTTGGTGGACATTTATACAGTTGGAAACCTCTGTGCATTTTCTCTCTCTCTCTCTCTCTCTCTCTCTCTCTCTCTCTCTCTCTCTCTCTCTCTCTCTCTGTGTGTGTGTGTGTGTGTCTGTTGTGCTTGGGCGTGTGTGTGTGCTTTACCAAACGCAGGTTAAAAATTAAAAGGTTAAGTAGAAGTTTCAGGATCTAAACATACTCATTTAATATTGCAAATGCCTCCTTTAATTGTGGGGATACTATTAAGATATGTGTTGCACTATTGTTGCTCTGAGGTATGTTTTTAAAACACATATTTGTAAATGTGATTTTCTAAAAAAAAAAAAAAAAATGCTCAGCTGCAAATATGAGCCGTGTCGGCCTTGATAGTAGCGTAAAAGACGCTCGCTAAAAACGGCGAAAATGGAAACGTGCTTTCAATTTAACCTCATTTTGAGCTCAACCTTTCCTAATTAAGGCCTTTGCAGCCTTCGAGAAAAAAAACGCGATTGCCTCAAACATGCCCGCTGTTTTTAAAGAAAACGAGTTTCCTCATTATGCGTTGCCTTATTAAAGCCCAACCTCCCGTGTAGACAAATTCCACTTACATCACATCCCAAATGAACACAGAAAACAAGCCTTTATGTGATCATGATTATATTTGCAGAGTTCTATTTAGCTACACTCTTTAATTAAAACTCGCCAAGCTACATGGCCAAAATCTAGAAAGAAAGAAAGAAAGAAAGAAAGAAAGAAAGAAAGAAAGAAAGAAAGAAAGAAAGAAAGAGAGAAAGAAAGAAAGAAAGAAAGAAAGAAAGAAAGAAAGAAAGAAAGAAAGAAAGAAAGAAAGAAAGAAAGACAAACAAATAAAGCACATTTACAGCAACAGCTATCACAAAATACATCACAGACGAGGCGCTCGCAGATGCTTCTGATTCTGTACAAAATACTCTACACCTGCGTCAGGAAGTATACAAATAAAATAAACATGGAGGAAAACAAAACAAAGCAAAACAAAAAATAACATTCACGTCATAAATTATAGGGTATTTTTTTCTTGTGAAATCCAAAAAGAATTCAAGTATTCTATTTCTTCGGAGAAATTGTGTGGCATCCAAACGTTACTTATTTAGATTCCTCTTACATAGAAATATAAAAGTGAAAGCAGAATGTTTTCTCAACAAAAGTCTGTATTTTTTATAAATTTTTTATCTCTTAAATGTTTAATTTGTGCACTAAAACAATATTCAGCATCACAAAGACTGAGGTTAATGGTACTACAAACAAATCCAACAAAGTGACAAATAAGATGAAGGACGTGGGGGAGGCTTTATGTTTTGGTAAATCTGTGTTGTCCATTTTTATTTTTTATTTATTTTTCTTTTTTTATCAATTAGTTATTTTCTCTCTCTCTCTCTCTCTCTATCTCTCTCTCTCGGCAGTCATTATTGTTCCTTGTTGTCGCTCTTGTCCTTGTTCATTTTCTTCATCTTCATTCGCCGGTTCTGAAACCAGATTTTGACCTGCCTCTCGGTCAGATTCAGTACCCTTGCGACCTCGTATCTGCGGTCTCTGGTGAGGTACATATTGAACAAGAACTCCTTTTCCAGTTCCAAAGTTTGGTACTTTGTGTAAGGACACCGCTTCTTCCTTGTGGAGCGGGCATGTATCCAATTGGCCACGGGGTTATCTGCAAATTAAAAATAAAAAAAATGAAATAAGAGAGGAACGCCTAAACAGGCAAAACATGCTACCAAGACTCACCAGAAAGTGCAAAAAAATAAAAATAATCACAGTCAACCTTACAATACAGCTTACATTCAAGCTAAATTAACATTTAGTAGTTTAAATAAAACCCAACACAGAGCAATCCTGCGCTGATTTGCTTTCTTGTTCTCTTAACTTGTGAGTAACACCGTCGTAAAATACTCAGTGCGCGTATTCACTTTATTGGCTCATAAAATGGCCCGTGGTTCAAGCCTTTACAGGTCCGTGGTGAAAGTCCTCGAGTTTGTCCCCACATTCCTCAAGTTGCCTGTGGATAAGTTTTGGACTTAATATAGCAGACTAAATTATACATTTGTATCTGTAAACACTTAATCTTACCATAGCTGAGAAGACTGGTAAGTAATTCATATGTGGGGATGTGGATTTGTTGCACGTTAAGGCCCTCTGGAAAAAAAAACAGTGCTAAAAGTTGGCTTGTATGCCGCCTTTTACTGACACAGGGGTCAAAATATAATCGTAAAAATGAATCATGAGCAGTTTGCTGATGAATAGATTCATATGTCAGATTCGGGGTGTTCACTTTTTAAATGAAAACGTCTAAAATCCGACAGCATCCATCCAAATTCAACGTCTTTATCCTCCAGTTTTGAGTCCATGTTTACAACCTCGTCTGCTTTTATAGCCCCCCAATATTAGCCTGGTAGCGTTTGTCTTTTATAGTTCCTTAAGCTTTCCCCCTTCTAGCACAGGCGTTTCACATTTGAGCCGCAAGGAAAAGGGAGAAGCCGTTTATAATTTCATTTCACAACAGTTTCAGATCAAAACAAGAATGCTTCCCGGCTGTAAAAGAAGCGTTGACTTACTAGGATCTAGCTCCGGCTTCTCCTCCTTATGCTTCCCAGATGCAAGAAGCTCCGACTCGGGAGAGGGGACGTTCTGCGGCGTCTTGTCTCGCATATCAGTGGATGAGCAGTACAGATAATCCGGGTAGGTCCGTCCGGCGGAGCTGAGGCATTCCCCGGCTCTGTGCTCCTGGAAGGCGTCGGGCTTCAGTCCATAATGTCTGCCGTTCCCCGGGTAGCCGTGAAAAGGCACGGCGCCTGAGATCGGCTCCAGCCATGAACGCATATACCGCGAGTCTGTGCCTAAGTGCGGCTGGTGACTGTACGGATGGTAGACCACTGATGACTGGGAGTGTCCTGGGGCCCAGGACGTAGAGAACACGGTCGGTTTGGGTGCGAAGCTGCAGGAAGGATAGTCGGCGCACTCCGGGACTAGGGACGTCGGACGGGGGCCAGCTGGGTGCGAACCGGGAGCAGAGAATCGAGTCGCAGCAAGGACATCCTCGTTCTCATGGTTGATCAAGGAGTCCACATAATAATTACTTATGGGACCCGTGGTCGACATGTCGAAGCCTCCCCGACTCTTTTACATGCATCCGTTTATTATATGGGGTGTATGTGTACTTTTTTATCTAGCCGTAGAACAATCAAGGCAGGTAATTATTTCTCAAAGCTTCCCTGGCTCCCATTGGCTGACCCGCTGACACGTGATTATATTTACCCCCACAAAAATTGTACAGTGGATCAATGCGCCACTTATCCAGGGATACCAATGCACATAAATGGGATTAAACAAAGTGTTCTTTCACTTCATTCCAGGACTCATAGAGGTAAAATTGACCATAACATTTCTTTTTTTGAAAATAAGGAAACCATTCATGTGCGGTGCTGCAGCTAGATCTTTATCCAGTCGTAGCACAGACCTGCGCACATTGCGTGTTAAAGCAAGGAACTATTTGATGGTGTAATTAATCTCTGTCAGGGCTCTATGCTACTTCAATAGATACTGTTACAGCATTAAAGCGTTTATTGAATCGTTGGCTCTTTTTATCCTCGGCAAACCAGCATTTGATAAAGTGAGGAGTTTATAACTTCTCGTAGAATGCTGTTTATTGTTTTTAGGGATATATAAAGAGAAAAGCCTTCACGGCAGCATCCGCAGCTGCAGCAGGGAGACGTGCACGATGGAAACTGGGGAGAATCAAAATAAGGGATGCATTTCGCACGACTTTTAACGAGAGCCTGCAGACCAAACATTCCCTAAATGGGGTTTGTGCAGATACTGCCGAGGAGATTCCGAAGGCTTACAGACTCACAGCCCACTAAAAACGCCAACTATATTCGGCCAGTGACCGTTCGAGGTTTTTATGTCCATCAATAAATTTTAACGAGGACCATTTGATTGTTCATAAACGTATCGTTAATATGGAGAGCATCTGAGATCCCTGCTAAAAATAAAAGCCGCCACCATTGTGTGCGCCTGCTAAAAAATAAAAATAAAAAATGATGAAATTGGAAAGGCCGAGAGCAGCAGATGATATAACGGGGTGTACATAAAGGGATGTATAACTCCATGAAAGCGTTTATAAAATTGAAAATGTTGCTTTTGTATCCTGCCGTCTTACTTCACAACACACTTCTGATGTCTGAAAACTGAGAAGGAGCGATTCACCGACTTAGCAAAGTCGCAACACTACAATATTAGGAGAAAAAATATTACAACAACGTCCTATAAAGGCTGATAAACGTGTGTTACTGACACACACACACACACACACACACATGTATATATATATATATATATATATATATATATATATATATATATATATATATATATATATATATATATATATATATTATATATATGTCTTTTGTATGTGT